GGGACATCAAAATGAAAAAGTAAATCCGTCCCGGGCCTAGGTCTTACCGTGCCACCTACGGTAATAGCTACTTCCCTATAGGGAAATTCGCTAGAGTGAAAATTTAAAAACGCACGTTTGCAGGAAAAACACTTTGCAAATTGTTTCCCCCTTTTTTCAAAACTGTTATTATTATTTTTATTTCATTAACATTTGAAGTTTCATAAAATGTCCATGGTAACGCAATATCTTTGGTAGTTTTTTTTTTTAAAGAGCATCTTTAGTGGAAAAACACAAAATCCTGTCACGACCATAACAGACGTTTAAATGAATATTAAAAATAGTTAATATTATTTTTATAACTATGTTTTGCTATAAACTAATTTACTTTTATGACCATTATACAATAAAAAGGTCACTGAGCTTTTGGCATATTTGGTCTTTCTAAAAGAAAAGAAAAAAACAAAAAAAAATTGAAAAAACCAATAAAATCTTTTAAGTTTGTATAACTCCGAAAAAAACTTACCTGAGACCCGAAAAATCGTTATGTTTGTATAGAGGTGTGCTTCATTTGTGTATAAAACATTGAAATATCACGATATTTTAATTTTTGAAATATTTATGATGGAAATCATAAACGAGATGGTCAGGGAGAAGCGGTACGGTCGTGAATTTTCTGAAATAATCTAAATATTTCTAAACAACCCTTCAATTATACTGTTAGTTATAATAAAAATATGTGTTTAAATTGAACTAAGCTGTTCAAATTACAATTATATTAAAGTTATTGTCACGACCAAACACACTATAATCCATACGGCTGGATTGGTCGTGAAAAAACCCACGATGGTCGTGAAACTTTGGTCGTGAAATTACGTGTTATTTGGCTCTGTTCTGGCGGTAGCCCTGCACCTCATGTTCGAGGATACAAAGTGGAGTTCTAGGTTAATCTAGCAATTGAAATATCTTATAAACAAAAATTAACACCATGTCTACTTCATCGAATGACTACGTACGGTCATGGACACACCAAAATTACAAAAAACACAATCTTTCCTTTATTAATCTTGTAATTCCTCCTTTCAACTCGAAACGACCGGCACTACAATCCTGACGTACACCCCGAACTAGTCTCTAAAACCAACTGACTCCATCGACGCCAGGCTTGCCACTGTCGTGCTCCAAAGTTGAAAATTTTTCCCAAATGGTCGTGACGCCAAATCGAGGGACAGACTTATTTTGTCATGGTAGTCAGTTTGCAATGACAATAAAATTATAATATGCACCTTTTTTGTAAGTTTAATAACCATTGATGACATAAAAATATGGCTTTATATATTTCGGCATGAATAATTAGTCTAAAAACAGCGTGAAAGTTGGAAAATGTACCCTAGGGACACGTCATGGTCGTGAATTTCGAGACTTTAAAAATACGAAAAAAATACCTAGAACCTATTTAAAACCAAATAAATGTGTGTAACATGTTGCCCCCGTCCCAAAAAATATTAAAACACATAATAATAAACTACAAATCCAGTATCTACGAAGTAAAAGGTCAGGGACATGAAAACGTACGTTTTTAAATTTTCACTCGCTAATAAAAAGAACTATGACCTGTACAGTTGGATTTTTTGAGCTAGAAGCAGTTAAGGTGTGGTGGAATATCTTTGAGGATAACCCTATTTTGCTGTAGCGCGATCATGTGTTCTTACGTGTCAAATTTTGAGGTTAAATCAAAACAAACAAACTGGCATGTTATCAATTAGGCATAGGGGCCGTGTTGTATTACTTTTGAAAGAAATGCCCAATTAATATAAAATGAATTAATTTAGGATATTTCATTGTCTAATTTATTAGAAATCTTTCAGTATTTAGACTACTGCATATTATAAACCAAACTCGAATATTGCTTCCTTGGCCTATCGTATAGTGTTATCCTGTTTAAGTAGCCTACGTGGTGAACTTTTCTGATTGCATTAATGCATTATCATCAATACTGCAATTAGCTGTTATTTATAATTTAAATGTGTCAAAACGTTAGTCTTTAAAGGTTTATCTCGTCATCTCAAGAGTATTTCATTCTTGTCACGAACTTGAAACCCAAAAGGCGGGAAGTTTTAAAAATCAAAACGAAACGTAAATCATCATTACTCTACGTCCAAACAGTTATTTTAGGTGTACCTCAGTCACAGCAACCACATTATTCTATCAATATAATGATCAAAATTAATTATGCAAGACGATTCAATATTTGCTCATATAATTAACTATTTTCAAAGCAACCATCGCTTGTAATTTGGAGACAATAATTAAATAACAACTTATTCATTAGTTGATTTGGAATTAGGAATCACGTCTCTATTTCACAGTAAATATTCTCTAAATTGCCAAATACTTTTATAAAAGTAGGCTAGAGTAAGTTTAAAGTATATTTAAGTATTGTCAATTCCAATATAGGCTATGCTAGTTTGTTTTGATTTAACCTCAACATTTGACATATATGAACACATCATCGCACTACAGCAAAGTAGGTTCATCTTCAAAAATATTCCACCACACCTTAACTGCTTCTAGCTAAAAAAATCCAACTGTACTTGAAAACGATGCGGAAAAAGGTTAACTCTGACCAGTTGATGAAAGCTGAAAATAAATCTAAAGCTATCTGGGAAACAATACACACAGTGTGGTCTAAAAAGGAAACACCCCTAAATGAAATAACCCTTCAAGTAGATGGCAAACTTATAAGTAATGTGACCCATGTTGCAGAGCATTTGAATACATTTTTTACACAGGTAGCAGAAAAAACAGTAGAGAAACATAAACACCTAAAGAACACAGCTCAAACCCCACAAGTAACTCAAACAGGTCCACCGTTTTCCTCCTTTCAAAGCACGGACGAGAGGGAAGTTAAAATGATTATAAACAAACTTAAAGCAAAAAACTTGTCTGGAATCAATGAAGTCTCATAAAAAATACTTAAGCATTAAGCAAATAAGTCCCTAAAACAAGGCATCTTTCCTTCACTACTTAAAATAACCAAGTAACATAACAAGTATATCCGAAATTTTAAAAAGGCAGCCCATTAGAAGCAAGCAACTACAGACCAATTTCCCTCGTTTCCACCTTCTCCAAATTATACGAAAAAGTTGTTTTAAAAAGACTTTTAGACCACTACACAAATCACAACCTGTTGAACAACCTCCAACATGGATTTACAAAAGGGAAATCCACAACAACAGCAATAATTTAGATGGTTGAGTCCCTGATTGACAGCCTAGATGAAGGAAATCTAACAACAGGAATCTTTCTTGATTTCAGTAAGGCATTTGACTGCCTTGACCATCAGCTAATCATTAAAAAGCTGTATTTCCTAGGGGGAACAGGGATAGTAAGAGAATAGTTTCAAAACTACCTTACAGGCAGGAGTCAGTTTGTAGAACTAAGGCACAGAGATAACAGCCAAATAAGAAAAGCAAGATCAAGTTTTCAACCAATAAATCGAGGAGTTCCCCAAGGGTCTGTTATGGGTCCGATACTATTTATTCTTTTTACCAACGATTTGCCGCAACAAATAGGAGACGCCTGCCTTACTCTTATGTATGCTGATGACACAACCTTAGTGTTTAATGAACCACTAACTGAAAATCTAGAAGTAAAATCCTATGTGTCACTCAGTATGGCCTACCAATACTGCTACAACAATGATCTAGCAGTAAACATGTCTAAAACAACTCAAATAGCTTTTAACCGTAAATCTCATGAAGTGCCACGACTTCCAGATGTAGAAGTGGAAGATGAAGCTAAGTTTTTGGGCATCACACTCGACAAGAATTTAACCTGGACCCCTCATGTGGACAATATATGTAAAAAATTAAGTTCAAGCATCTATGCTCTTAAACATTTACAAAATGCAACAGATGACATCATAACAAAAGTAGCATACTTTGCACTTTTCGAGTCGCACATGAGATATGGACTTGTAGCATGGGGGTAGAACCTCTGCCACTAACATGCAAAGAGTTCTCACAAAACAAAAAAAGGCAGTAAGAATAACTGCAGGACTCCACAGACTCGACAGCTGCAGGGAAGCATTCAGGTCACTCAAAGTACTTACCCTTATAGCACTCTACATCCAGGAAGTTGTGTTATTTGCAGTAAGAAATAACCTTACAAGGCGTGGCAAAATGCACCAACACAACCTGAGAAACACCATGCAGTACAACCTTCCACAACCTCGCACGGCACAGTTTGAAAAGAAATCTTCATACGCAGGAATTAAAATCTACAACAGGCTACCTCCAGATATAAGAAGCAAGACAGAAGATGACCTCAAACCAGCTTTGCATCAATGGCTCATTAATCAACCTTTTTACTCTTTAAAAGAATACTATCAACAGATCTTTGACTAAAAAACACCTCAACCACATATTTAGAAAAAATTGTAAATTGACGCTACTACTATTCTTAATAAATGTGTAAATAAAGATTAATTGTGTATTGCCTAATGTCTATTGTGGAGACATATTTAGATTTAGTTAGAAAATATTTAGATTCCCCCATGATAATCTTATGGGAGAAAACCCAACTTTAATGGAAGATCCTGCCCAAACTAATAAAGATTTCAAAAAATTAAAAACACTTTGCAAAACTACAGATCAGGGCCATTTTTTTGATACTTTAATCATCCAAATCGGTCCAAAAATGAGGGAGGAGTTCTGTTTACAAAAATGGGCTTAGCGTATTATATATATAGAAGATTTCAGCAATTAAATGTTTATGGTTTGTAATATATTTTTTTTATAAATTATAAAAAGGTTCTGTTTATGATATTTTTTAAACTATTAATCCTGCAATTAATCACACCGCTAGGCTTGGTACAAACTATTGAAGTACTTTAAACTGTGCCATAAACTGTGTAGTCCCTATCCAAGCAGGTGAAAGAGAATTTATTTAACTGCTATCAAATTAGGCTAAGTAAAATTTATTTCGTCTTGATTAATGAGGGCTTCTTGAAAATTTACCTCATAAAATATAGTGGCCAGATGACTGTTTGTTGGAGCATTCTGTTCCTGTGGTTCTTCTTTAAGAACATTCAGTAAATGAAGAACCTGTGAAACATACAGAGTAAATATGACAGGAAATCATAAAAGGTTTCAGAAGAATATCTATTTGAAAATTATTGGTATTAATGAATACCTTAAGGGCTCTGCCCCACAGGACGATTCCCAGGCTCTCTCTTACATGCTTTGTAAGTTTAATTCAATTAATTACCGTAAATGAAACAGCTGGTTGATGCAATAAACGGTTGTTTGTTTAATGTAAGACTAAATTACTTACGTAATCCCGTCACAGCTCAATAAAATATGTCAATTCAGGACGTGTTTTGGTGTTAAAACGCCATCGTCAGCTTCAGGTACATATGTTAATTGTGGATATTTATAGAGATGCTCTGTGGATGCGATACTCCCTGGTATGGATTAACGTCTGCACTAGTGAGTGAGTACTACGACTATCCGCAGTACTATCCTGATAATTAAACCAATTCGTTAATACCAAGGCAAGAATGTGGTTCGGATGATTCCACTATAAACTGTAGGTACCATTAGCTGTTTGGGCAATTAATTAACAGCTGTGTCTAAGGAATATGTCGACCTTAGTCACTAACAAGACTACAAGATCGCGCCACTCATCCTACACTCATCCTTCACTCATATTTGGGTTAAAATACGCACCTAGTGGCGTCCCCATCTTAAATAATTGATATAATTGATCAGTAGTTAACATCGTCAGAAGATAAACACAGTACAAAAACGAATAAATACATAAAACAATTAAACATTTAAGAAACAGGCCTGTTCTAACAAAAGATGACCGGCCTAACAGGTAGCAAGGGACAGACTAGCTGTAAGATATTTTATTGAGCTGTGACAGGATAACGTAAGTAATTTAGTTTAACATTATGACCAACAGCTCAGGGGCTACACACTTAGATTTTAGTTATTTGTTTATTTACTTGAAAAGGTTTTTAGCAAATTTCCAATATAGAAAACAAGCTATTATCGCAGGTCTCATGGTAAGACTTAAGATAGATTTACTTATTCGTTTTGATGGAACAAGAGGCCATAGACAACCTTTCAAATCCATATGTATGTGTCCGTCAGCTCGATAACTCAAGCAAAGTTTATCCGATTTTGATGACATTTGGTACAAACTTGTAAAACTATATTTATTTGAACGAGTTTGCGAGCCAGCTGTGCAACTTACGTTACAACGACGTTTTAATGCGAGTGCTGGGGCTTGTATTTCCTTTGTATGTATTTCATGAATTTTAGAATGACTTATCAACATTTGTACACTGTAAATAAAAAAGACGGCTGATGAAAATTCTGTGTGGTAGGCCTTTATGTTTCACTTAAAAAGACAGCTAAATTGTTCATTAACACTGTTTAGTGTAAGGCCAGTTTAAAACAACAGAGGAAAAAAAACACCATGCTAATTTAAAATGGCTAAAAACTTTAAATGATAAAACATTATAATTCCGGGCATAGGCAAATCTCAAAATCCCAGGATTGATTTAAATCTCCAAGATTGAGACCTTTAGTACCACTGGTGCTGAAAATGAGCAGTTGTTCTGGGAGATTTTTTTGTACATTTTTGACAACTAACTGTCAACACACTGTATCAATGACAAATAAACAGTCTTGATTCTTCATTCTTTTGGTAGCCAAGTCTTAATTTTGAATCCTCTAGACAGGGCTGAACTTACCTATGGGCGGGCGGGGGCCCCCCTCGCACAATGGTTTTTCTTAATTAGTTCAAAAACTAATTAGGCACTTATCAAATGTCCTCTCTTGTTTTTCGTAGTTGAAAATTACGATCGTGGGAAACTATTACGAATACCAAAAATTGCTGCGATCGCAAGAAATCATGACAGCCGTTGCCGGGATCACGGGAAATCATCACAAAGTTTTCTGCCTTGAAATATGATTGCAGATAATAACCGCGATCGCAAAAAATTTCACGAGTATTGAGATAATGATAATGGTGGATTTTGCCGTAATTGTTTAAGACACTTACGACGTTACTGCAATTCTGTGAGCACGGGGAATCGTCACGAATTACACCGATATCCCAGAAAATAGTCACAGAATTTGAAAAAAAAAAACGCTGGAGACGATCGTGGGTTTTGCTGTGAACAGGGAAAGTGTGATTGTTTTGATTTTATCTCATAAAGTAACAAAAGTTGGATTTTAGGTAAAAGTTCGGTTTTGATTAAAATTAATGTGTTATGGTCTTTGATCTAAACAAAATAGTGCAATTTGCTGTAACAATTACGGCTCAAAAGTTATTGCATTTTTTGTGATTTTCATTTATAAAACATCATAGTACTCCATGATTAAGGTTGTTGACAAGCTTATGGGAGAAATAATTCGTCAGATTTGCTGATACCATATTATACATGTGTTTTAGTTCAAGCCCTAAATAAAGTACGGTATGTGTTGTCACAGATTTAAGAAGTTCTTTAAACTACGGTATTACCGTGAAAAATAAATTTTAAATCATCCATTTAAACCTGCTTTGTGCTATTATATTTTTATTTTGACATGATTTTTTTAATTATTTGAGGATCGAGACCTTTAATTTGAGCACTCTCCCGTCGTTCTACGACTTCCCAGTCACCCACAATTTTGACGCAAGGCTTACATAATTAATATATAGATACAGTAGAACCTCTTTAATCCGAACTAATTGGGACCAGGGGTAGTTCGGACTATTGAATAGTTCGGATTACAGAACATATTGTTGTTTTTACATAACAATAGCTAAAACATGGCTAAAATTGATCAACATTAATTTGGGAAAAGTGAAAAAATGTTTTATAAAGTAAAATACAGTGTTTATTTAATACAGTAGTAAACATAGTGAATAAACAGTACTGTAAATTAAATCAAGTATACAATAAAGAACTGCTGTACTGTGTATAGAGTACAGCAATGAGGAGTTCGGATTAGTGGACGTTCGGATTACAGGGGTTCGGATTAAAGAGGTTCTACTGTATTAACTTTAAATTGAAGGCATAACCTAACAAATTCTATGAGTTTTGTAATGAAGGAAATAATTATTCTTTGTAGTGTAGTGAAAAGCAAAGTTCAAAACACAATTGAAAGTGGGTCTTTATATATTCTTGACCATTTAAAGTGCCCGATAAATCTCGCACTTCAAACATGGTCTCAAATATGTAATGACTCACTTTCTACTCTTGTTATGAAATATACTATTACCTAGAACAGTGGTGCTAGCATGGATATTGTTTTAAACCTGAAACTAAGATATTCCTAAAAATTTTGAGGAAATCATAGGAGCCGTTATTTAAATCATTGTGCACAAACGTTGCTTGTATTATAGTACAGTATAGATAAATATACATAAATATGAATTTGAACGGATGGTATTTTTGGCCTCTAGGGACTTCAAAACGAAAAAGCAATTGGGTCCCCGGGTCCTGGTCTTACCATGAGTACTACCATGAGTAGCATCCAAACAAATCTCAAATTTTCTCGAGAATAACAATATTTTGGCTAATGAACAATTTGGTTTTAGAAAGCGCTTAAGCACAATGAAAGCTTTATCAGATTTTATTAGTGAGGTTTCATGGGCTTTGGATGGGTCACAGAGCACAATGGGAGTGTTTTGTGACCTATCCAAGGCATTTGACTGTGTCAACCATGATATACTTTTAAAAAAGCTAAAAATTTATAACTTTTCAAAAGAGTCTGTTTTATGGTTGACTTCATACTTGACAAATCGATTTCAAAGAACAGTAATTTTTAAAAATAATGAAAAATCAATATCAGAATGGGAAAAAATTACAGTTGGTGTTCCCCAAGGGTCAATTCTCGGACTTTTACTCTTTATTTTATATATAAATGACTTGCCTAAAAATGTTTCCAACAACCTTGTTTTATATGCTGACGATACAACTGCAGGGGCCTGTTTCATAAAACTACTAGTCTAGTATTTACTAGTCCATGGACTAGTAATACTAGTGTATTTTACAAGTCTACGTTTCAAAAACCTACTAGTGTAAAATACTAGTTACTAGTGTAGGGACTAGTATTACTAGTGGTTTTTACTAGTGTAGACAGCAATGTGTTTCATAAAGTTTTACTCTTGTAAATTACACTGGTAAATACCTGCCATTTTCTAACAACCTCTCTACACCCGTATTATTTTAAGTAGACTAGTATTTTTGGAAAGAGAGTTATTTCATTACTCACATCATTAAAAAAAATGAATTATTAAGTTCTTTTTGCAAGTGCAAATTGGCTCATGTTAGCAAATTTAAGATAAAAATAGATCTGTGAGTGCTAAAATGATAATTATTTGATATAAATTACAATCAATAAATGTGGCGTAGTACAAAATGAGAGAAATAGAATTTTATAATGTATGTACAATCGCCCTATTAGAATTAATTATAATTATACGATTATACGTTATCAATTTCTGTGAAATTTTAGTCTAATTTTACTTGAGTTAAATTTCATGGTTATATCAACTATTAGCTATCACAGAGAAACGATTTTTAAGCTTTGGGAGAAACCAAATTAAAACCGCATACCGTATTGCATACAAAGATGTACAAAAATGTATCCAACATTGCATCATTAATTAGATTATTTTACACCCAAGGCTCTCGGTTTTATTTAATAGGACATTTTAATAGGAAATAATTGTAAGACAATTATAAAGAGGAGTTGCATTGTATTTTTTTGAGGTGCTTATTATTTTTTCCCCTAAATAGCTAAAACCCTGTGATGTACTAACAATTTTGTAGGCCTATATTTGATTTCTGGGCGTTGAACTGAACTGCTTATCATAAAAACATTTTTTTCCATTTTGGTATTCTGAATTTGCTATTCAAAGTAATAAAAAAATTAGATGTTGATTAGAGCTGTTATTTAAATGTAAAACATGTAAAAGTTTGGAACTAAAGTATAGTGAGTGGTGCGGATTTGAACCAGGGACCCACCACATGAGAAGCGAAAACTCTACCTCTGAGCTACGCCCTGCAATAGCGCATATGCCATGTTTTACTATACTTGAAAACCTACTTCTCCATTGCTTAACACGGCGTTGCAATTATTTGTTACATCAATAAACGTTTAGGCTTATTATTCATGGTTTGTAGACTCAAAATTAGAATATCACAGAATGGTTTTTAACCCAAATATTCTTATGCATTCGAATACTTGAAAACATAGGTAAGGGTACTTGAAACCGTTCCAATAAACAAAATGTCCTTAGACGATTTAATTACATTCAAAATTTGAGCCTTCTTTTCTTTACTTATAGCAAGCTTAATTTTATATGTCAGAATAAAACAAAAACTATACAAATCACAGCGAATGCGGCAGCAACAGATCAACTTCCACCCAATTGTTTCGCCTACAACCGGCTACTACAGTCACCGTGTTGATTGCAGTGACGCGACGCCGCGCCGCGCCGCGCGTCGGCAGGCTCATTGATGAACATAAATAATAGCGGTTTGATAAATAATGTGTGATTGTTTTACTTATGTGTCTATATAGTTATTAATTAAAAGAAAACACTGCGTTTCTACAACTATTTACTTTTTGTATAAAATGAAAACAAAATTAAAACCCTTTATAAAGGGTTTGAAAACCCGTGATTGAGGTTAGAAATTTGTTTTGAAAGTTTACCTTGTAAAGTTGGTCACGTGACTAGTAGTTTTGGTCACGTGACTAGTAAAATACACTAGTATTTACTAGCGGTATAAAAACGTTTATGAAACACAAATTAGTAGGACAGGTAAATACGGGACTAGTATTTACTAGACTAGTAATTACTAGACTAGTATCTTTATGAAACAGGGCCCAGTTGTCAAATCTAAAAATGATTCAGAACTATCTCTCAAAGTTAAACAAGCCCTATCGGAATTGGAACGGTGGTTCAATATTAACGGTTTAAAAATGAATCAAGATAAAACCCAATTGGTAAAGTTTTGTATTGCTCAGGCAAGAGAGTTTAGAGACCAAAATTTATGTGTTCAAGATGATGCAAAATTTCTCGGATTGTACGTAGACTCAAATTTAAATTGGAACAAAAGCATTGAAAATTTGATTAGTAGACTGAATTCGGCATGTTATCAAATGATATGTTTAAGAAACACAATTGACTTGAAAACTCGTTTGATGTTATATTATGCTATTCAATTCTTCAGTATGGAATTGAATTCTGGGGCTTTGCATCAAACATTGATTTAATTTTTAAGATACAGAAAAGGTTTTTAAGAATAATGATATTTGCTCCTTGGAGAACATCATGTAAACCTATTTTTAAAGAATTAGGGATAATGACTGTTCCGAGTTTAACCATTTTTAAAACACTTTTGATGGTGGAGGGAAATTTTATCTAGTGAAAATGTCAATCATAAGTACGATACTAGGTTTAAATATAATTTTCAATATCCGCGGCACCGTCTTTCATTAGTAGAAAAAACTCCGACATACATGGGCAAAAAGTTTTTTAATAAATTGTCTCAAGAGCTCAAAAACAGCATACAATCTAAGCATTTCAAGAGCAGCCTTACTAATTTTCTTTTAAGGAAAACATATTATAGTATACATGAGTTTTTATGTGATCAAGATGTGTAATTATTTGGTATTTTAAATGAAATGTTTAAGTTTATCTATTTTGTCTACAACAATTATTTCTATTTTCATAGCGTTAGTTTATTTTATTCTTTTATAACTCCTTAGTTTTAAGGTATTTGTATACTGTATTGACAATGTCACCTGTTTTATAGCATTGCTATATTTTGTAAACGTTATGTGACAATAAAGATTTATTTATTTATTTTATTTATATATTTATTTATTTATTTATTTACTACGGTAATAGCTTATATCCTATATGGGAAATTCGCTAAAAAGAGTCTAGAAAACAGAGTAATTTTCATTTATGTGTGGCAGCACAGAATTGTACAAAAATTGTATAACATATTATCGTATTTTATGGAGTTGTGTTTATTTTGGGAAGGGGGAAAGCGATTTTGGAAAGCGAATAGGGACTTCATGTCGGGAATTTTTGATTTTGAGTTATATATATATATATATATATATTTGAATTCCTTATTAAATTCCGAATCACTTGGTGCAATTCCCATGCATCTACGACCTTTTTTTGTTAAAGTTATAGGACTTTGAAATTTTGCTATGAAAAAGGTTTATTTTGAGAAAAACTAATTTGAAAATTTCAATGGGCATAAAAACAGTTTTTTCATATCTAAGAAACAATTTTGGTATCAAACGACAGCTTATATTGTACTCTTTGGAGGCAATACCAATTTTTTTCTTAAATCACAGTAGACTTCATTTAAATAATTGTTTTATAGAAGCATGTCGTAAAACTCACATTTCAGAAAAGGGACCTCTTGTCGGCCCTATGTTATTTCCCCATAAGATAAGAAAAGGTACCTCTAGTTGTGACCGCAAAATTTGTGAGATATTTTGTTCTCTGTAAACTGAACTTTGTTGTAGTTCTCTAAATTTCCTCTACAATGCATTAGAATTCATTTTTTGGACTAAAATCTGTTTATAAAGTAAATATTAAAAAATGGGACCTCTTGTCGTTATGGCGAAATAACATTGAGCGACAAGAGGTACCTTTTCTCAGACCCTGCAGAGGCTAGCAAAATGATTTATTTTGACCTTTTACATCTTCAATTCAATATTTTAACCAATACTGTCCTGTTCTATGTTTAATGAGGTTTAACAATTGATAAAAAACCGAATCCCCATATTTTTGACCCATATTACTTATATCGGCCATACTGAAAATTTTGCATCGCAGACAAGAGGTCCCTTTTCGCTTTCCACATCACATATGAAAAAGCTGAATTGTGTTCACACACATTTATGTCCAAAAATTAATTCCATACACATATTTATGGCATCCAAGCAATTAATGAATCTCTATAATAATTAACCTCAAAAAGTTTGTACCTTACCTCATGATTGCAAAGTGAAGCAGCTTTATTAATTTTCCTGAAAAAAGTAGGCATTATGTAAAAACCTTTGTTGGGAAAATTAACATATTACTACAATTTTTGTACAAAAAATATGAATTATAAGACATAGGAATTATAATGAGATTTCAATTTAACAAGCTAAGCGTTTCACGAGCTTCAAAATTCACCAACTCAAAAAGTATTGTCCCGGCCAGAAGTTGCCACATTCATATTGCAGTCACTGTACGTTCTTGCGTTGTAGCCACGCACCAAGAAACAACATTGTGGGTCCGTTAATGCATTGTAAGGAATATATATTGATAACTATATTGATAACATAATCAAATCTATCTAACAAATTTATTATTTTGACTCATTGGGAGAAACAAGTTTACAGCATGCTAAGGAATTGTATCAAAGACTCGCTAAGTGCACTGGTTCTCAGAAAACTCCAGATTTTAAAGTTGTCAAGAGCCCTCAGCAACCAAATGGTGATGATTGTGGGGTGTATGTATTATTAATGGTGGATTGCCTCATTACTGCTATTGAACAGGGTGAATTGGAGCCACTCATTGAGAAGAGCATAGTAAACCTAGAGTTCAACGAAATGGACAGCATAGTCAAACGCTCACTGTTGGCATATCTCTGCTACAACCAACAGCATAGGTACAAAAATCAAACGTGATGTTTTGAGGTCAATGCTTAAACGGTTTCCTGGGATTGACACAGAATCTCAGCATGGGAAGAATAATTATAGAGCATTAACTAAAAATGTAGGTGATAATCACAAATCATCAGCACAGATGAGCAATGGAACATCCACAGTTGGAAATTTGTCAAAAACTTCACCTAGCTTGACTTGTGATGAATGGTCATCGGTTCGGCGAAGGAAAAACAATAAACCAAACAGTGGCCAAAAAAGTGAAAAAAGAACTCACACATTACCAAACATCAACGTTACTTATGTTAACAAATATTCAGTTTTGGACAACTTGCCAGGAAGCAAAGATACATTTTCGCCACCTGGCTGTATAAATGAGAATAAATTAAATAATGCCCCTAAAAATGTTCACAAAAAAGAAAAAACCGCTGGTTTGAGATTCAACTCTAATAGACCAAACAAGAATGTTCTTTCAGACTTAAAGGTTACATTCTGCTCAGACAGTCAAGGAGCAAACTTACCAATCAAGCTAGAAACTTTAAGTAATCAGAAAGTTCAGGTTTTTGGATATATCAGAGCGAACACCACTCTGACTCAGGTTGTTGATTCAGCATCAATAACACATGATTCTAGTCCCGTTATAATCCTCGGAGGCAGCAACGATAGTCTAAATCGTAACTTCAAGGACATCTATCAGAACTTAGAAAAGAAACTTACCATTTTAAGTGCTACAAGACCCACATTTATGACCACTATACCTATCAGATATGACATAGCACTAAAAGATACAGTTAATCAAGAATTAAAACTTGCCAACAGTTATATAATCGAAACCGTACAAAGAATGAGTAATGTCAACTATGTATTTTGTATTTTATAATGTATTTTGACTCTTTTATTTTCTGCTTGTGCACGTATTGCGTCATGAAGGTTCATATAGCTCTGCTCGAAGTTTTGACTGTTCCCTAAACCGAGACGTTCACCTACAATTCTCGTAAAAATGTCAACTATATATTGAAGTGTAACCTTACCACAACAGCATAATACTGAAGTCTAACAGATAGCCGCGAACTACAAATGTGTATTGTGTAACAGTGTTCCAGTGTGTAGTTGCCCGATCAATCAGTGTGTGGGCTATTGGATCAAGACCTGAACAGTGTACAGCCAAATCTTCTAAGGTCCCATTTTTAGGATACACAACAAATACAAAAAAAAATATTTTTGTATAGAAACAAACTTGAAGTAGAGGATTTGTTTTGTTTTGATTTATAAATAAATTTTCTGGTAGATCAGCTGTTTCATGACAAATTAATGAATGTCAAAGATTTGTGATTTTAAATATTACAGTACAGTTTTGTAAATCATGGTAACTTATTCTCAATAAAATTTTACTATTCTTTACATTAAAATTAGGTAGCATGATCCATTATGAGTACACTTTAAGGTACCCAAAACATGATTAAACTTAATATACATTTACAGGCATGATACACACCAATTTCTTCTGTAGTGGACTTTGACTATTTTCAACTAAAAACATATGTTTTTATAAATCAAAATTATCTCCCATGTTATCCTTATGGAGAAAAAACTGACTTTAAGGGCCTCTGATGCCCTTACCAACAACTTTATAAAAAATCTAATACCGTTGGGCACAACTACACGTTTAAACCTTTATTTTGAGACCTCAAACGTCAAAATCGGGTGAATAATAACGGAGGAGTTTGATTAACAAAAAACGGCTTAGCCTATTATATATATATATACAGGGTGTCCGGTCATAAGTGTTAAATAAAATTTTGCATTAAACTACATGGTAATGGTGACAGAATGTCGCAAATTTGAGGTTCCCAACTTCAACAGTTAGAGAATAACAAATAAATTAAGATTTTTCAAAAATTATTGTAGTTGTTATGAAAAAGGTTATTTTACTCTGTTAAAAATGCACTTACTGTCAGTTTCAATGTCATTTTCAGAATCCTCACAAAATTTTAAATAAATATAACACATAATCGTTGGGGTACGTAAAAATATTCTATTTAAAATTCTTCGTTAAACAAATTATTTTTATATCGACGAAAATGTAAATAACATTCAGCAATGTATTTCTCGGTTGTTGAGTTCTGGCGAGGTTATCAAATATGACTAAAAACTTCCTTATTTAAAGGGCTTTACAATGATGTATAACAACATTTACCTACTGTCAAATCCATGGTGAATTTTACGCACTATTGTGAAAAATCACGGTCAAGCCAAAACAGGTATTGTAAAAAATAATAAAATTTTACTTACTATTTTATGAGCTGACCTCTGATGATGAGGGTATGTATAATTTATGATTGACCAGACTACACTTCCATCAAACTAAAGAGTTTTTTTTTTTAAGACTTTGGAAAATTTGTAATTAAAAAACACAACACATTAGTAAAAAACATAATACACACTACAATTTAAATATGAAATGATAGTTAACCCATTAAACAAATCAATGACACACTTTGTCTGAAGCACAAATCACAGTTTGGGTGTAAAGTGCCCACCGTTTTCCCGCAAGCAGGCCCTAGCTCTTTTGCGGATTGCGCCAACTGTGACCTCATACGTCAATTTTTCCCTTACTTTCCCAGCAGCCTCAAAGATTCTCTCCCGTAACTCAACTTCAGAGTTTACAACAGTTGAGTAAACTAGACTTTTCATGTAACCCCAAACAAAAAAAATCTAACGGGCTCAAGTCTGGAGATCGAGGAGGCCATGTCACACTTCCTCCACGTCCAATCCATGTCGGGTAGTTTTGGGATAGCCACAACCGAACGCTTTCAGTAAAATGTGGTGGAGCACCATCACCATCCTGCTGAAATATGATTTCAGCTCTTTGTTGAGGATCAATTTCATCCAACAACTGAGTGCTGAAGAAAATCTAGATATAAATCACCGTTCAGATTTCCTTCGAAGATATTAGGACCAATTAACCGATCTCCAATCACACCTGCCCACACGTTGATCCCAAACCTTTTTTGAAAAGAAGCTTCTCTGGAGGCTTTTGGATTTTCATTATTCCAAAGATGCATATTGTGGATATTTATCACACCTTCTCTGGTAAAACGGGATTCGTCAGTCCATAGTATTTTTTTAAGGAAGTGATATTCAACAATATCACGTTGAAGAAGCCAGCGGCAGAACTCCTTTCTGGATTCGAAGTCACGAGGCTCCAATCCTTGGACCTTTGTAAAATGATACGGATGGAAGTTATTGTCCTTCAACACTTTATGTACTTTCCACCGGGACATACTAGTTTCAAGGGCAAGCTGCCTAACACTAGTAGTAGGATTATCCATAACTCTCTGAATTACACCCTCTTCAGCTGCAACATCATGCACAGGTCCTACTTCTTTCTTCTTCTTCTCAACCGATCCTGTTTCCAGCAAACGTTGATGCACTCTAGTAAACACCTGAGTACTGGGGGTGGTGCGATCAGGATACCGATTCTGGTACTCTCTCTGAGCAGCCGACGCATTACCGTTACACAAACCATAAATAAAATGCATTTCAACATACTCCCGAATCGAAAAAGACATAGTTGACCGATCACTGTCCACATGTGACTGATAGATCGTTTTAAAATATGACTACTGGTTCGCTTTGTTTTCTTATCGCTTGGATAAAGTATTGTTATCAGTAAAATACCTGAATCTATTGACTAAATCCATTCAACAAAATAGAAATTCCGGGAGATAATTTAAATCTTATATGAAAATTATACGATAACCGTAACTTTATCACAAACACATTTTACTACTATGTTTCTTTTCTTAGCTGGGTAGTTATAAACAAAGCGTTGCATGCGAGAAAGAAATACAAATTATTTGTTGCCTGCACTTAAATGTATTATTCTTCACAATAGATTTTCTTTGCCCTACCATGTTTTTTTCACAATATTGATCGAATTACATTAGGAAATTTGAAATTCGGTAAAAACTATTATACACCATTGTAAAGCCCTTTAAATAAGGAAGTTTTTAGTCATATTTGATCAACTCAGCGGAACTCAACAACCGAGAAATAAATTGCTGAATGTTATTTACATTTTCGTCGATATAAAAATAATTTGTTTAACGAAGAATTTTAAATAGAATATTTTTACGTACCCCAACGATTATGTGTTATATTTATTTAAAATTTTGTGAGGATTCTGAAAATGTCATTGAAGTTGACGGTAAGTGCATTTTAAACAGAGTAAAATAACCTTTTTCATAACAACTACAATAATTTTTGAAAAATCTTAATTTATTTGTTATTCTCTAACTGTCGAGGTTGGGAACCTCAAATTTGCGACATTCTGTCACCATTACCATGTAGTTTAATGCAAAATTTTATTTAAC